CACCTCCCATTAAAAGCTATTGTGGGGTAGATGAAGCCTCTTGGAAAATGTAACAAAACAGCAGCAATAGCTTGACAAATAAGCAAAGGCTGCAATGTGCTTTTGCTGATAATAAGTAGCATGGAACAACTGCCTCTTCTACAAAATCCTGGGATTTATGTCCAGTCTGCCTGCACTGAAAACTAGAGTATTAACTCATGAAGCCCATACATCAACACATGTGGAAAAAGGAATCAAGGTCTAGAAATGAAATTAGCATGAAATTAGTTAGCTGTAGGACATAAATAGAGGTAATGACATTTGCCTGCGTCTTATGAATCAAATGTCTTTGGAGAACTCACCAAGCTTGGACTGCAGCTCATGACCCCTGTGATTTATTTCAACATTTTCTATCCTAGGCAGGTTGTTTGCAAAGTCCTTCAAGTATCATTAAGACAAATCAAGAAACACAGATAATTCTTCAAGAGAAGAATATGATCATGGGAAGACACCGCTTACACAGAATGTCCACAATGTGTCACTGCAGCCTCCAGAACAATGCCTCACTGTATTTATTAATCCATTGCTACAGAGATTACAGTGATCTGACATGGAACCCTAATGAATTTTTGGCATTCTTGGAAATTGTGACTGCCATTGCCCAGGGAGCCTCTTAAATCAACCCCCCTCTTATCCCAGTTGCCTTTTCATGCTGTATATCACATTGAGAAATGGAGTACATGATCCGTAGCTTTGACTACCCTGCATTAGTCGATCTCATACTATGGATGCGTATTGCACAGTGTATGAATCATATGGGAGCTAGGATATGGTGACAGACAATATAAACATGAAGTTGGTAATGCCTGGAACCTGATAGGAAAAGAGGCTGAGAAATATAAAGAAAAGTCAAGGCAACTGGATAGGACAACCCAGGTGTTTGTGACTAGCTTAAAACAAACTTACTAATGAAGTGTAGAGTTTAGAAAGAATTTTATTTCATTATTCAAGGAGGTGATTTTTTTTTTTCATACTACTCTTTGATACTCTAATCGCTGCTTCTTCCCTTCTGTAATCGGATCCCGTTCTGTTTATAGATGGACATTTGGGGGTAAAGGCAATTCAGTTCCATTTAATCTTACTCTGCATTTAACATAAATGAAGACCATTAAGTTTAATGTGCCCAGTATATAGATGCACAGCAATGAAGTCAGAAACTATGGGTCTAGCTTACTTCCAGTTACTGACTTGCTTTGAGAGCAGGGATAAGCTATTTCACTTATCAGTAAATCAGTTTCCTCACCTGCAAAATGGGATAACAGCTAATCTTGCTAACTCATTAAGTAAGAATCAAAGGACATCTTACATGTTGTTCTAAATAGGATATTTGGGAAGCAAAAGGCAGACTCCCACAAGGATACCTCCAAGAAATGGGTGTGTATTTTCATGATAGACATAGACAGAACTGGAAAAGGCCAGGACCCTTCTTTGAGTTAGCTCACCTCGCATTCAAAGGATATATGGTTTTATTCTGCTGGCATCTCTCATTCTCTCTGCAATTCTACTCCATTCCTCTCCTTCACATTGTGGCACTGTACTGAGGTCTTCCACATGTGTCTCACATGCCACTTGACTTAAATCCATCACATAACTTTCTGCTCAGCTACTACAGAAAGCCACCCAGGCTCCATACTGTTCTTCAGGTATGTCAAGCTCATTCCCACATCGGGGCCCTTGTATGTACTTCCTTCTTCTTCAAACGCTCTCTCCCAGCTCTCCGCATGGCTTGCTCCTTCACTCCATTTACATCTCTGTTCAAATCTCACCTTTTTAAGTGGCCTTCCCTGACTACTCTACATAATAGTACAACCTCTAGGACTCTTTTCCCCTTATTTACTTTTGTTCTCTTAATAGTGCCTATCGCTCTCTGACATATGGTTATATTTTGTCTATTTAACCCTTTAGAAATCAGGTGACTGAGGTCAGAAACTTTTTTTTCCCCTGCAGTAGCATCTTTGCTTAGAATAATCCTCACGACTAAGAGGTATTCAGTAAATATTGGTGGAATGTATATTTTATGAATGAGTGAATGAGTGCCCAACTGCCCCAGATTTGTAATTCCAAATTTGTCAGAGGAAAATTTAATGGATCTATTTCATATTTTTCGAGAGACTGCTCCAATCAGTTACCGACTGATCCGTGAGGTACCATTCATGTGTCAGCTGCCACCCCTTGGTCTAATCAGACAGGGTTGAGATGGCGCCGTTCACACAGTACAGAGCATAAGCACTTAGAGCGTCAGGGGCTAAGGAAGGCAGATCCCTTAAAGTGGGGCTTGAGTGGCCCAGCCCTGATGGTACTGTGGACTTCCTGGAGCACCGGCTTAGCTCTGATAGATGCAGAGGGGCTACAAACTTTTGCCCAAGAATCTCAAGGTTGGAAACAAGGTTGACTCCTCCAGGTACCAGCTCCCTGAACTCAGTCATAGCAGTCCTCAGTCTTGAATTTTTTATTTACTTTGGATTTTATATTGAATTTCTATAAGCACCTAATAATAACCATTGTTAATATTTTTGAGTATTTCCTATGAGTCTGGCACTTTATGAACATATTTACATAGCTTAACTCCTGGAATTTTCATGACTATCCTCTGAGGTAGGTACTAGGATTCTCTTCACTTTGCACATGATGAAATGTGAGAATACAGAGAAAATAAGTTTCCTGAGGTCATTGGTGAGTAATTAATACAACCAGTATTTAAACCCAGGAAGTCTGGATCTGCAGCTCCATCTAACAAGGCTATTTGTATCCATTTTTTCCTCTGTGAGACTTAGTAAGAAGTCCTTATTTTCTTAGAAATAACATGTTGAGGTAAACACATGTAAATATGCTTTTAAAACAAAAAAAATTGCACGTGTAAGATATTCCTATTAAATAAAGATTTAAAGTATATTAAATGTACATTTTTGTGCTGCATGATCTTTGCATGTCTAACTGGTAGGTATTCATGGGGATTTTTCTCTTAAAATAAGGCTTGTGTGTTCATATTACATTAAACTAAAGGAGGTGAAAATTTATTAATTCATATATTTTATAGTAAAGGCTTTTACAGGAATGAAAAAAAGGCTACATTTATAAACACCAATTTATAGACTGCTGTTCTTTTCTATCTTTAAGTATGTTAGTTTTATTTTTCTTTGCTTTTGTACATGTGCCTTTTACAAAAAAATACATAATTTGATCTGTAGAGTCTTGATTTCTATCTTTTTGCTGAAATTGTTCAAGGTCATAATGGCCCCATATCCATCAATCTTGTGGGCTTCACATATTTCCTCTGTCAGTAGTACATATCAGTATGATGGTTCAGTGTTCATAGTCAGGAATTGATTGTATTACTGTCATTTCATTTGTTGGAACTTGTAATTCAAGAGAAATGAATAGAGTTGTCTGAGAAAAGAGAGCAAGGTCAGTCAGTTTTAGTTATTATGAACAATAAAACTTGGTAATATGTTAGTGTAAATAGGCTCTCTGAGCCAGTGCACTCCCTGGGGATGCTCTAGGGGGTTAGGGAGGGGAATTAACTCTTTTAGACTATACTCCAGCATTTGATGGTAGTCCCGTAATGTGAAAAAGTGAATACAACACTGAGTTGAAGGCTTCCTCACTGAGAGGATAAGGGTTCATGAGCTATGTAGTAAGCCTTACTTTCATTCTGTTTCTGATAGGGAGTAGTAATTACTTTAAAAAATTACTTGTTAATCATTAAATTACTTAATTATTCACTTATCTAAAGAAAAGTACTGTTTTTATAAAAACGATAGAGCCCTATTATTAAAAATAAAATAAGGGACATAAAATAAGTTTTCAAAAGTCCCCTGAAATCGTACTGCCCAACGATGACTCCTGGACTTAGAGGAGGACTTACCGCAACATGAGGAACTATAAAGTATCAAAACATAATCAAGGGCTGGCCCCGTGGCTCACTAGGGTGAGTGCAGCACTGGGAGTGCCGAGGCCACAGGTTTGGATCCTATATGGGAATGGCCGGTGCACTCACTGGCTGAGTGTGGTGCAGACAACACTGTGCCAAGGGTTGCGATCCCCTTACTGGTCAAAAAAAAAAAACCAAACAAACAAAAAACAAACTCAAGGTTTTCTAGAGAGTAAATGGTAAAAGGTGTATTTCAAGCTACTGGAGTTTTTTGTTTTTTGGTAAATTTAAAAATACCTTCTGGCTATTATTTTGGGGAAAAAAACCAGCTTGTTCTCAATTCCACTCTTATACAAATTTCAAACATATTAAAAATTTCATTTTTTAAAAAAGTGATACTATAAAATTATTACGATAACATGCTAGTACTAACGTATTTCAAAAAGTTCATGGAGAAACAGAATTAAAAGATAATATGAATCTTTCCATGAACTTTTTTGAAGTATCCTTGCATTTTAAAACCTTGGTTTCGGGCCGGCCCGGTGGCGCACTGCTACAGTGTGCTGCTTGGGAGTGCGGCGGCTCTCCCGCCGAGGGTTCGGATCCCACATACAGACCGGCTGCTCACTGGCTGAGCGAGGCACGGGCACAACACAGAGGGTTGCGATCCCGTTGCCGGTCATGAAAAAAGACAAAAAAAAATGAAAAAATAAAAAAAATAAAACCTTGGTTTCGGGCCGGCCCGGTGGCGCACTGCTACAGTGTGCTGCTTGGGAGTGCGGCGGCTCTCCCGCCGAGGGTTCGGATCCCACATACAGACCGGCTGCTCACTGGCTGAGCGAGGCACGGGCACAACACAGAGGGTTGCGATCCCGTTGCCGGTCATGAAAAAAGACAAAAAAAAATGAAAAAATAAAAAAAATAAAACCTTGGTTTCAGAAGGCTTTTTAAAATGTGTCAGAAAAAGCCTAAATTTGGCTGAGTAAAGTAGAAAACCATCAGTATATCAAAAAGAAACAAAATACTATTAAATCATAGATAAAAGTACAAGAGAAAGCAAGATGGAAAGAAATAACAACACATGACAAAGTTAATTTTGTAATATTCTAAAAGTACTTACTCTTAATAACCAAAAATAAGATAGAAACTACAATAATGTACAAAGACAAATACTTCTTCACAAAAGAGGAAAAACCAATAAATATAGTTTCTTAGTGTTCGAAGTATCAATAAGTATGCACTTCACTAGAATTTAAAGAATCCATAGCATATATTTTATTAGAATTCTAGAAAATTTCAGTACAATCAGCAAATGGAAAGGATTTTATTGTCAATAACCCAGTGAAACTCATTTGTCTCATTTTTCCAACTTATGTGGTGTTTAGCCTCTCATGGTCTCTCTACCTGGACGAGGACAGGATAAGACCAGCAGTATCCCACATGATTCTACATGGAAGTCCAAGATTGTCTTGGAATTTTCCAGATTTCATATATGATATGATGCTCTATCTACATTATGATTTTTAATTTTAATATAGAAATAAATTTGTAATTTTAATATAGAAATAAATGATCAACATTGTTTAGAACACAATTTTTGAATACACTCTTGTGATTGATTGTTATGCCTGAACCACTATGAAACTCAGAGTATTATTAAAAAGAACCTTCCCCTCTTTCTTAAAACTAAATTCAGGCTCTTGTAGATCTTTCATAATTTCTGCTTTGAGATCAGGTGGTGCTGTTGTGCTAAAGTTGCAGGTTTCAGTCAAAAAATCCCAAAGCAGGTCTCCATTTTCATTACCATCAATAAAACAGTCAGATATGTCCATGGTAGACAGAAGGTCATAACACTCATACTTAATGCCCAGGTTGTCCAGCATCTGGGTGAGGTCAGACGACGTGACATACTGGCAGAGGTCATCCAGGGGAAGGCGGGATCCATACTTTTTCCACAGCTTGTCCCAGCCACTGTTTCCTGTGCAATAGAACATAGTTCAGGCTTTCATTTATTCTTTCTTTTATTTACCTTCTGCCTGATTCTTGGAATAAAGCAATGAAGAAAGTAATATTCTTGCCACTTGTGGAGCTCACAATTCAAGGAGTGTGAGGGGGATGGAGAAAATTAAATAAGTATATATATCTTATGTCAGATGGTAATAAATGCTAGACGGAAAATTCATCAAAGTAAGGGATAGGGAGGGCCAAACAGTTCGATGGGCTGCTATTTTATCTAGGGCAGTCACAAAGAGTCTCTCTATTAATGTGACATTTGAGCAGAGACCTGATAGCAAGCCACGTAGACATCAGAGAGAAGACTACTCCACGTAGACAGAAGAGCACTGGCAAAGGACCAGAAGCGGGAATGTGATTGGCATGTTTAGCAGCCAGCCGGGGGCCATGCCCTGGCAGTTGCTGGCAGCGGTGGCAATGTCAGCTGCCACTCTCAGGTTGCCACCACTTTAAGGGCTTCTCCCTGGCGCAGCACAGGTGGAGAATGGAGGATGCCAGGCTATTCCGTGGAGTGGAGGAGCCAAGGGCAGCCCCCTCCACCCGCATGCAGGCAAGAAACAGAGTGCACCTGGGTCCTAGGCAAGGAGCGCACAAAAAATATGATGTCCTTGGGGATGGCCCACCACAGCCCCACCAGAGCCATGGCTGCTGCAAAGGCGGCTCGATGCTTCTGCAGTAGCCACAGCTACCACGCAGATGGCCCACTGGACACCGGACTGCAGTAACACATGGAGAGACACCAGCAGAGACATGAAAAAGAAGATGTCTCTCCCCTCAAAGTCCACTCCAGCATAATAGAAGAAGCAACTGCTCTACCATGCCCCTGTTTTATTTCTGCTTTTAGTGATTTCTGTCTTCTCTCTTTTTTTCTTGGTCAGTCTACACAAAGGTTTGCAAGTTTTGTCGATGCATTTAAAGAATCAAAAAAAAAAAAGACTTAAGCAGTCTACAAACCACCATTGACATAATATTTTAATCAAACATTAACTTTACATAATTCTTCTAGGGTATAATAATCTTTATACATAGTGTAACTTGTTAAATATGTAACTATCATTCATTTTCTTTGGCAGCCTATGTTATCGGAGATTGAAATCAAACTCAAAACTCATTTCACATTATCATCTAAGTTTTCCTTACTTTATTTCTTTTCTACATCTCTGATGACAGTTTTGAATTTTCTAAATCAGATAGTTAAGAACATTCTTGTTTTCAAGAGTTCATCACAAATACATTTCTATATTATTAAATAAAATAACTCCCATGTTTATTGCAGCTATATTTACAATAGGCAGCTGATGGAACCAACCTAAATGTCCATCAATGGATGACTGGATAAGGAAATTGTGGTATATATACACAGTGGAATATTACTCAGCCATAAAAAGAATGAAATTCTACCATTTGCAACGAAATGGATGAGCCTGGAGAAAATTATCCTAAGTGAAACAACCCAGGTATGGAAAGAGAAATACCACATATTCTCACTCTTAACTGGGAGTTGAATCCATAAATAAACAAATGAAGAATAAAGAGAGACAGAGAGAAAGAAAGAAACAACAATCACAGTAACAGAAAACTAGACATGGAAAAGAGGAGGGAAGGGGGCTCATGAGGAACTGGTCAACGGACACAAAGAATGACTGAATATTGTAATGATGAATAAGCTAATTATACTAATCTAGCCACCACATGTTGTACATAATTACTGAAAATCAACATTGTACCTCGCAGGTATGTATAATAAAAAATAAAGTAAATTAAATTAAAAATGTTTTAAAAAGTGGAGTACAGAGATGGGGTGGTATTAGAGTTCTTTCTGAAGGTTTTCAAACTACACACACTATCCCTGTCCCCACACTCCATCTCTTGCCAGTAGAGCTCAAAGCTTAGAGACCACCACTTTGGAAAAACATAGACTTGGGTTTGATTTCTGGCACTTACTAGTTTGGGCAAGGTGATTGACCTCTAAGCCTCAGTCTCCTCGTCCATAAAATAGTGACAGTAATAACACCCACATCACGGGATTGTCACAAGGATTAAAGGGGATCATGTGCAGAAAGCATTTAACATGATGCTTAGCATGTAGCAAAGTGCTCAATCAGTGTTAGCTATTATTATTAGGAAAGACTGACTATGGAACAGAATTGAGAATATATTTCTTTATCCTGTATTTTTCATTTGAAACAGAGAAAGCTCTTACGTCTTTATTATAAATTATTTACCATTATAAGCTGACCTTAGAAAACTCTGTAGTGCCAGTTTCATTTGGTGTATTTTTCAATGAAGCGAAGCCATGAATTAAAAAAAAAAAAAAAAAAAAAAAAAAAACAGCCAGGAAGCCAGCAAGATTGGAATTGAGTGAGCAAGAGATTAAGAGGGAGAGTGGAAAGAGATGACGCTGGATGGGGGTGGGGGGAGAGGATGAGGTGCTAGATCCTGTGCAGCCAGATGGGAAAGCACTGCAGCGCGGTCTAATAGACCTTTCTGGACTGATTGACGTGTTCTATATCTGTGTTGTCCAATGTGGTAGCCATTCACCACTTGTGACTATTAACCATTTGGAGTGTCGCTAGTGTGACTGAGAAACTCAATTTTAAGTTTTATTTCATTTTAATTAATTTCAATTTCAACTTCAATAGACAAATGTGGCTTCTGTATTACATGGCATGACATTAGAGTGACCTAATTTACATTTTAATAAGGTCACTCTGGCTACACAGATGAGAATAGACTATAAGGGTACATGGACAGTAGCGGGGACAATGGCAAGAAGGCTACTGAAGTCACTTGGATGATATATGATGGTAACTTAAACCACTGAGCTGGGAGGCAAAGAGAAGGGGTTGCATTTTTATGTATTGTGCTCCTAGATCCAAAGAGGTTTGCCAACAATTTGGATATAGGGTGTGAACAGAAGAAAAGAGTCACTGATGACCCCAATGGTCTTTGCCTGAGCACCTGAAAAGGTAGCATTGCCTCTACTGCAGATGGCAAGACTGAGGAAGGAGTAGTTTTAAATGCATCATCAGGCACCTGGTTTTGGAAATATAAATTTGAGTACCTATTGAACATTTGGATGGTGATAGGAAGAAGGCAGTTGCTTACATTAGTCCAGAGTTCAGAGGAGAGCCTCTAAGAGTAAAAATTAAAAAATGGAAAGAAAGAGCACCGTAAATAATTTACTCAAACCAAACATAGGGTGGCCTCTCGTGCCTATTAACCACTTAAAAGATTCTGCCTTGGACTGCCAGTAACTAGGTTAATTTCTACAAATGTTTCCACAACTTTAGAAGATATATTAGCAATGTCTGTTGTATTTAATTTAAAATCCAGCCCATCACAGAAGCTAAGAGATGCATCATCTGAGGGAGAGAGACTTAGGCTGAACCTTCTTCAGACACTTCATGAATGAGATGAGGCTTGTTATTTAATCACTTAGATCCTCAGTTTCCTTGTCTGTAAAATGGGGATTACTATACTTACCTCCAATGCAATCACAAGTATTAAATGAGATAATTTAAGTGAATCATTGCACAATGGTAAGCATGCAGCAGATGTGTAATAAGTGCTTATAAAATAAATGAATTAGTTTGCTGGTGTATTTCCACTGGTTGTAATTTTGAGACTGTAAAACAGCAAACCTGCTGTTTATAAATCTGTAATAATAACAATGAGCTTCTTCTGTTGATGAGCTGTCTAATATATGCATGCAACATACATGGTCAGTATGGTGCAGTAATTAACAGCACAGTCTCTAAAGCCTGACTGCCTGAATATGAAGCCTGGCTTTCTCTGTTACTGGCTTTATGAACCTGTATCTCTCCTTTATCATCTGTAAAACAGGGATGATAATATAATCTATTCATAGAATTGCTCTAAATATGAAGTGAGTTCATAAAGTAAAGGCACTAAGAACTATGACTGGCATATAGAAAAGCTGCTGAAGTGTTAGGTCAACGCAATATAAGACAGAAATCTACATGTTATATGTGCTTCCAGGATTAAAAGTAAAGATTTCAATGTCTTGAGGTTTTTGGCCCCCCAAATCTTCTTTATCAGCTAATGAAAGTAATCGACTCTCCAGAAAAGTACACCAACAATACAAACAGTTCTGCAGATAATTATAGAATGCTCTAAGACCCTTGGCCCCTGTCCATGTATTATACTAAATTCCCAGATTTAACTAAACACAAGAGACTATCCAAGACAGTTAACAGTAAATAATAAATAACCTGGAGAACTGATGTTCTACTATTATTTCAGAAGAGAGAGGGGGATAATGGCAGGATATGCTCTAGGAGAAGGTGGAATTGAAATGAAGCAAAAAATAAATAAAATTTCAGTTCAATGAAAAAAATGAGGGTCATGAGTATGTATTAAAAAATCTTTCTTTCCAAAGACAGCAGATTGTCTTCCTAAATAAAAGTTTGCCTGTGAACAAGACTTTACAAGAAAATTAGCAAGTCAGTGGTTGAAGAGAGGCTCTGCTGTCATTATCATTATTTTTCTAACCTGGCAGAGAAAAAAGAACTAAACACTAATGCAGAAAATGTGCTGGTGTCAATGCTGTTCCTTGGTGCCATTTCTGAGCTGAGCAATTATGCACTCTCTGACTGAGGCATTATCATAATGCCTCTCGGTGGGCACAACATATGCTGTTACTTTTGTCTTCAACATGATATAAACCAGTTGGGTTTTTTTCCCCCGACTGTATTAAAAATAACACACAGTGATTTGCCTCCTTCCTTAGCCAGGTAAGGAGAGAACGGACAGAAAACTGCAGTGATCTACTTCTGGTTCATCTCCCTTAACCAGATAGGTTGCCTTTTACTTAGCAACTCTCCTAACCGATCCCTGGCTACAACATCTGCAGAAAAACATGCCACTGACATCATTTTTGTGTGGGATATATCTTATCTAAAAAACAAAATCCTGATTGCAATGGTTGTAGAAAAAAATAAAAAATAAATTTTAAAAATCCACCTCTCTTGTTCTTACTACTCTTCCTTTTCATCTCCAAATCAAATCTTTCATCTTCATATTCAGGAATTTCTGCTAGTTTTTCCTAAATGGATATTCACCGAGCTGGGCTAGCTCTTAGGAGCACAGAAAAAAGGTTCTTTTCCCTCAAGCAACATGTATTCCAATAGGCTGACCTGTAAATGTCATCATTTAATTCAAATTTCAATTTTTCTTTCTTTTCCGATAGTTTCACTTGCTTTTGTCTGGTTATTTCCATGTGCCATAGGTTGCATATGCACTTGCGTATGTATACCTTCTTTTTGAGACTTTTATTCGTATTTACTAAATCCATCTGCAAATCTCCAGAACTTTCTATGTTCTCTGATTTCATGTCTATTATGTAGCCAGTTTTAGCCAAAATATATTCTCTTTTTGGGATGGATGTTCAGAGGTATTTTTAATTCCAATATCATAAGAACAAAAAACAAAACCCCAAAAATTATTCAGTTTAATTCAAACACATTTACTGAGTATTTTCCATGTGCCAAAGGCTTTACAAAGATCTGGGAATAGAGATGAGAGGCAGAGATCCTGCTCCCAACAAATTCTCCTGAAACTCCCTTCATGCCTCAGATAGGAAACTTAGCACATTGCTGAAGGTGTTTACATGTCTGAATCCTCCAGTAGATTAGGAGCCTTTCAAAAGCAGAGGAAAAGTGATGTCTAGGAACAGTATCTATTAACAACGTTTTCCTCTTTGGAACAATTGTCTTCTATGCTGTAAGCAATAATAAAGAATTGTGAGCTGCATATTGAGAAAATGAATAAAATATTTCCACCATCAAACTATATTAACTTAACAGTTTTTTTTTTTTTTGTCTTTTTTCATGTCCAGCAACGGATCGCAACCCTCAGTGTCGTGCCCGTACCGGACCGGGACCGGCAACGGGATCACAACCCTCGGTGTCGCGCCCACACCTCGCTCAGCCAGTGAGCGGGAACCGGTCTGTACGTGGGATCCAAACCCTCGGTGGGAGCGCTGCCGCGCTCCCAAGCAGCGCACTGTAGCAGTGCGCCACCAGGCCGGCCCTAACTTAACAGTTTTTGATTCAAAGTACTTTTTTAAAAAAGCTAATTGATTTTGAGTCTTTACTCCCTTTTTTGATTTTTCCCCATGTATATTTGCATAGTATATGTATTATGTGTGTATTCACATAGTACATATGACCAACATATACAGACAGATGTAATATAATATATAGGTTTGAGTATCCAGAAATAGGCCTTGAATAAACTAAGACTCAGACCAAGTCTGCACAGCTAAGTGACTCAGTGCTCTTGCTCTAAGTGTCATCAGACATGCTACTGGCTTTGTTTTGGTTTTCAAATTTCCTGATGCCAATTAGCCATGGATTGTATCAATTCATTCATGATATAGCAGAATACTATATCTGTAAGGGCACTCCGTCAATTCTCATTTGCTTGCCGACTACTTATGCCCCTTTCTAAATCTTAGGCTGACTTTTTCTTATTGGTAGATACATACTCATAGAATGCTTCCTCCTAGCGCCCAAATATTTAACTTCTGAAAATATTTTAGAACAAACTGAACATAAATAGGAAAGTGGATTCATTACATATCTTCTGGATGAATTACTATTACAGTTTGTAATATCTGTTCTGCATTACTGATGCAGAAGAATACACTGCCTACAATGTTGACAACTAAGTTTACTTTTGTATTTCTAAATGCAGTATAAAGTGCTTTAGCCAAGTGTCCTCTAATTTAGAGAGAGGTTAGTAGAAAAGATCCAGTTCACATAACCCTTTCTAAATGGGAAGCCAGACCACATAAATGAGTATTTTTAAGTAAGTAGAGATAAAAATAGTATATCCAACTGTTCCCTTTGGGAGGAGGTCATGTAGAGAAGTTCTCTATTGCCAAACTTCCACATAAGTTCAAGCTCAGGATTACAGGCAACAACCATGTTTGCCATCTTTAAATCTATTCCTCATCTTTAAAAAACTAATTTTGTGACATATGGCTTTTGAGTATGAGGTCTGCTGTAAGCTTAGGAAGATAGATAATGTTGTATATTTAAAATTAACCTAATAGCACTGAGTGGGCAACCTATAAAGACTGCTGAATGAAAGAAGTAAGGAACAAACGACATCAGCAGTGTCAATGCTTCCTTTTCTAAAAATGTTCTTATGTTCTCTGTGTGGTACTTACTATATCCCTGGAAACAGCATCACATGATCAAATGCCTTCTTTGAAAAATAAAACATCTTCCCAAAACAAAGCAAGAGCATCACTTTTTTTTTTTTTTTCTTTTTGTCTTTTTTTACTGACCGGTAATGGGATCACAACCCTCGGTGTCGCGCCTGCACCGGGGACCGGCAACGGGATCGCAACCCTCGGTGTCACGTCCGCACCACGCTCAACCAGTGAGCGGGAACCAATCTCCACATGGGATCCGAACCCTTGGCGGGAGCGCCGCCGCACTCCCAGGTGGCGCACTCTCCAGTGCGCCACCGGGCCGGCCCAAGAGCATCACTTTTGATAGGTATTTCAGAAAAGCTACAATAAGCAACGGCTAATTGTTAATGGCTCTAGTAATGCAAATTAACCAAATATGATGGCATCCCAAATATTTAAACCTTTATTTACTTATTAATAAACATCACAGAGGGAAAAGTGACACTTAAGCAACATAAAATAGGTAAATACACATTTACTATTTTTATTCTCATTTAAAAACTCCTATTAGTTGAATTTACTCTAAGTTATATAAAAATAATTCATATATAGAAGACAACGACATATTTTCCCAGGAGAAAGGAGTAAACAGACGTTTAATTCCACCACATCTGCTAAATTAAGAGCTGTTGTGAATGACTTTCCAGATACCATGAAAATTAATTGACTTTGATCAGAGACCAAGGCAAGAATTTCATAACAAAGACAAAATATACCAGCTTTCTTCAAACACATAAATCTATGCATACATACGCTATTGCTGTTTTAAAATTCAGGCTGAATGAAAATAACTTACCTGACACAAGAACAGTGAGAATCATAGCATTAGTAGCTAAGAGACTATGGAAGAATTTCAGGGTAGCTGGGATGTCTCTTACATAATACAGCATCTAGAAAGAACAGAAAAGAAAAATGAGGCACTTCTCTAAGTTGAAGTCTTTGTTGCTTGGACTAGATACTCACTAGAAAGTTCGACTTTCAAGTTGCATAGATTTTTATCCAACAAAACACTTAAGAAATATAAAGATTAACGATGTTATACGGAGAGAGAAAACAATAATGTGAAAAAATATTTGGGGAAAAGGAAAACTACAGTATTTGCTCAGCTAGAGCCAAATAGTTCTAAATTTACTCTTCTGGCTTCCACAACACAGACATTTATAGCTGGAGACACTTAGTCTCCATTCCACATGGGAACACTGATCCTGTGCCTATTCTATATTTTGTGAATTGTAGTTCTTCCGGGAAAAGCTGTCACCATAAAAACAGATCCCATTTCATGGAACGTTGCTTTAAAATTAAGCCTTGTGCACTAGCTTCTCCATATGCTCACAGATGCTTTTTTTAAATACAAAAAATGTAATGGGCTCTGATGTTGAAAGATTCTCTAGGAAATTGGGCTGGATAAAGCATGAGGTTACATGCTTGATCACAAGGTGTTAGGCCCACCTATTTTTAACCATTCTGGACCAATCTTTAGTGAAGCGTAGGCCCTTCCACCTAATACAAAGAGTTTAGAATTATGCATTGGCATTGGAAAATTTTTCCTAATGGCTTTATCTTTGGAATCCACCCTCACAGATGCCTCCTTCTTATATCTCATCTTCATAACTCTTGGACAAGAATTCAATATTCCATGTAGCATGCCCATAACATAATTAATCAAATAAAGGGAAAAAAACTTAAGCTATGTCTCTTTCACATAAATGAATGAAATAAAATGGACCTGCTCATGGCCCATGCTGCCTCAGGGACCATATCTGGTATCATGTCATTCCATGTTGTCCACTTCAGGGACCAGAGAAAGGTACCCAAATACAGCTAATCAATAAGAGTGCTAAAAATCTATGACATAACCTGGCTAAAAAGGGAGGTGGGCCATAGCAGGTGCCTTGAATTTTTATCTAGGAGACACTGAGATTCTCTGTGTTGACAGTGAATATCAAGTTGGAAAGATGTCAGGAGAGTGTTAAGACTATAAGCAGCAGTGATGAGACAGAGACACAGCACAGAAAAGTGCGGAGGAAACACAGAGGGAGAAAGAGGAATAGAATAGTGATGCAGAAGGAGGCAGAGCTGCTGTAAGAAAGAAAGCACAAACATGGACATTTTGAGAGAAATAAGAGAAAGAAGCTGACCCTGAAGCCACAGCATTCTATAACACAGAGAAGAATGGAATCCAGCGCACAAGTGGAGGGATTGGCTTTTGATAAGAGGAGGCCTTTGTAATCAGATGGAAGAAGAGGATGCACACAAGTGCAGCTACTTTTGCAAGTTTAAAGGGCGGAAGTTGACTTTTCAACCAAAGGTTCCTATTTTCTCTATACAGTATGAAGTGAGGTCATGAGCTGGGAATGAGTAGTCAGGAGAGGTTACAGAAAAAGTAAAGAGAAAGCAAAGTTATGAAATAGTTATGTGAGGATGTGGGAGAGCAAGTCTGATAATAGAGAAACATCCCAGGCTTGCTGGGCAATGTTAAGTACTCCCTTATAGGTAAAAAATTTTATCAGTTAAGGGAGCAGAGATGTAGTATTGCCTGGATATGTCAACCTTAGAGTCATTTCTTCTTTTGATTTCTTATAAGTTTATTCCTTTGGGGTGACTATGGTGTTTGTTGTTAATTGACTGGTATTTCTAAAACTATGCACATCTCCCAATGGTAGCCAACTTCCAAAGTCTATCCCTTTTGCTAACCAGAAATATCAGTGATTCCTGGAAGTCCAGTCCCATGCCATCTATTTAATAGTCACCCCCTTTCCAAGAAATACATGAGTTAGTCTGTCAGTGCTGGACAAAGGAAAAAACTTTATTGATCTGAAGCATCACTTAACCTGTCCCTTCTGCCACGTATGCACTAGCCAGGCCACCTGCAGAAGGCAAAAGCAAGAGGATTCAGAAAAATCTCTGGGACATTGGTCCATTAGAGCTACTGGAGAACTGTGTAGGATATGTTAACACTCTGTTGTCCTCAAATCTACATTTGATGCTAGAAAAATTAATTAAGCCAACATCTCTAAAAAATCGATAACTGTAGAGGTATTTTTAGTACAGAAAACTGGCTTTATGAATGTTAAAGAGAATCTTAGTGTTATCGCCATCTTTATCCTCAATTCGGACAGACAATGCTCACTTGTAAAATTAGAAATAGAAGATTTTCATTTTTCTTACAAAATTTAGAATATTAGGTACTCTTCATACATATTTCTGAAAAATCTCCTTTCTGAATGTAAATTATAATAAATATTTCTTACCTGAATCATATGAATAAAGTCCCACTTTTGAAGCTCATTTTTCTCCATCACTCTATTTTGATATTCAGACGATGTCTCCTTATGCCAAGCAAACTTTATGTTCTCGAGGTTTGATGTCTTGGCTACAAGCTCTAAAATACAGAGAAGAGGTGGCACACCATCAATTTTAATTGCAAATGTGGAACCCATTTCCATTTAGAATTTTAATGCAATCAGTGTTATATACATAACAGATATAAAGCATATTTTTCTTTTTTACGTAGCTCTGGGAGACCACAGAGTTCATTCTGCTTTTTTTCTAGTATTACATAAAATTAGAGGTGAAAGGAAGAGCCAAGAAGAAATAATTATAAGAACGCTGAGCAGATAGGTTATATTATCTTACTGTTAATGAGGATTCAACTGGTGAATCTTGTCAAAGAAAGTTCATGTGAAACAGGTTTTATGGTTATGTAACTCAAGAATAGGGAAACCACAGCATGGGGGCTATACCTGGTCTGTCACCATATTTTTGTATAGACCACAAGCTAAAAACATATATGTTCTACTTCATGACTCGAGGCCTCTGTTATTCATGTTTCATTTCATTACATTTTTAAATGGTTGAAAAAAACCAAAAGGAGGATAATATTTCATATGTGAGAATGATATGAAATTCACATTTCAGTGTTACAAATAAAGTTTTACTGGAACACGCCCATGCTCATGAGTTTATGTATTGTCTATGGCTGCCTTTGGGCCACAATGGCAGAACTGATTAGCTGTGACAGAGACTGGCATTCAAAGTCTAAAATATTTACTATTTGGCCCTTTTTAGTAAAAGTTTCCTGACTCCTGCCATAACCTACTAAGCATAAGCTCTTTAAAGATTCTGTTTAAATATTTCTGAGTGAATAAATGACTTTGTCCCTAAGAATAAACATCAAAACTAATAGTTGATGATGACTGGGAAATGGATAAACAGTCAATAGAAAAGGAGTGTAATTATTCACTGTTCACACTCTGAGATGTTTAGTCATGCCTGCCAAGAATTAATTAGGTTCTTCTCCCAATAAGTTTACAAAGAGCATACCACAGTAATTATGTTATTAATCACTTAAGGAAAAAAATGTGAGCTGATGTCTTTGGAGATAGAACTTGGCATATGGCACTATGGGTTACAGGTACCTTTGTACTTGGTGATTTGTTCAGCACTCGGTTCAACAACCTCATTGTTAATATGTACTCCTGGGTATTGAGCCTGGACTTTGGAGAGAATGTGAAGATCAATTTCACCTAGAAGATAAACAGTACAACAGGTCAAATCATTCCAGAAAGAAATGATTAAGAACAACTTGAGCTGATTTATTTTCTGCCTTATCTTTACTAGGAAAGCCTACCATAAAGAATAATGCTCAACTGTCACCCTGCCACTATGCCTGTGATACAGAACAGCTAGGTTTTAAGTAAGAATAATAATGTGATCTGAGGAGGGCTATGAATGCCATTCATTCATTTATATAATATTGATTTAATATCTATCACTGTATTTCATTAAATCAAAGATGCCACTGATTGTAGGAGGCAATCACCATTTATTTTTATTTCCTTAAGTCAGAAAAAAACACTGTTAAGTATAATTTTAAGGTTTTATCAACTGGAAGACATAACTTAATATCAAAGATATTAAAGTATGAAAAAATGATAAAATAAGTTAGGCCAGAAGAATACCAAAAAAAAAGTCAGATTGAAAAAAAGATACAAACGTATGTCAGGTACAAGAAAAGGGAAAAAAAAGTCTGTCACACTTCTGTCCTGAGAAACACCATTGTCTAGTGTAAGAGAGACACGGAAACAACCCTGGCTGAATTGGCCAAGGTGAGAAGAGAGAGCGTACAGGAGAAGAGGCCACAGTGATGAGAGCTTCACAGAGATCACTCTCGAGCTCCATCTCTCGGGGTAAGTGGGAGTTAGCCCAGAGACTTCGGGGAAGTGAGGGACAGCAGGTAGAGGGGACAGGATGCCAGAGGCATGAAGTCAGCAAGTAGAAGAGTTTCCATGCAACTATCAGCAGTTCAGAGTTCATAGTATGTTGTGCAAGGCAGAGCCACCAAGCGAGAGATGATCCCAGAGAGGTAAAGGAGAGATTATGAGCAGAATGGATATTTATTCATTAATTCATTCATCAACTATTAATTTACCATTTACCAGGCACTGCACCAGGCTCTAGAAAATGATGATAAGAAGAGTGGGTAGATCCTCGTCCTGATGGAAATTCTGCCTGTACATGATAGTGTGAGAGAGATGGTGGTAAGCCAAATGGACTTGACTTCCAAACCTGTCTTCTCCACTTACTAGGTGTGTGTGACCTTGGGTAGTTTGCTTTGCCTCCTCAAGTTTCATTTTTCTCATCAGAAAAATAAAAATAATAATAGTACTAATTTATTAGTCATGAGGGTTAAATGAGGTAATGCATATAAAGCGCAGTGCAAAATAAAGTTTGCACTAAATTAATGTTAGTTGTTAATTATTTTTATTATTGCCATTGAGTCCCTCTTTTAAAAAAATATATCTCTTCTCTTTCTATTGCTGATGCCTCCAACTGAAGTTCTGCTCTTTTATTCAATTATGTTGACTTTCATTAAAATGGAAATACCTCCTGGCAAGATTAGCATATGAAAATGATGTTAGTCTTTAACGTTTAGGCATATATGACATTCACACAATCTTTCCAATGTTAAACATGGAAGGCAGCGTAAGTATAGGTCATAAGACTGGGGGATCTGGAAGGAAGAATGAGATGAGAAAGGTAAACAAGAACAGAAGAGGCGAGTCTAGGAAAAGAGGGCAGTCACATGGCATAATGAGAGCCCCCAGCACTAGTGACAGGAGACAGTGGGTGGGTGGGAGGAGGAGGGTGGGAAGGAAGCTGAAATGAGGGAGGAAGCAGCTTATGCGACAATTTTCTCCAAAGCCGGCACTACTTATGTGAAATCTTTTATTTCTTCTCTAGTAACTACGCTGCTATTTATTGATCACCTAGTATTTGCCAAACACCATTCTAGGCACTTTCCTAGAACACCTCACTTAATCCTGACAGCAAGCTCCAAGATATTATTCCCAACTGGATAAAGTGATTTGAGTTTTTTGACACTCAGGGAATATTGATATGTCTAAAGTTGAAGGTTCATCTGTCTAAATCTAAAGTGTTTGTTCTTCTAACTACTTCATACCAAGAAATAGACACCAAATACTAAAAGGACATGAAAAGTCTTCTCTCCAGCAACTATATTTTTGAAGGAAAAAATAAAATAAATAAGGCAAAAGACTGATAAGAATAGTTGTGGGCTAATGAGAAATAGAAAGATTCCAGCTTACTCCAAAGGACAGAAGCCAAAAGTTCTGTTCTTGCCTCTATCAGCCTAGCCATACATTTTAAATAAAAGATCAACAATTATCAGGAGCCCAAATTCAACATTTTGAGAGGGATAATTGAAATGCAATCATTTTCCCTTGGGGCTTGATAAGCTCTACTTCTTCTGAGATGGATCTGGATATTTCAGATCTTCCCAAATAACAGAATGTATTTAGCACAGCCCAGGGCATGTTCAGAGCCAGGCAGTCCCTCCTCTGAGGGCACTGATGGAGAACACAATGCTAGAATTGCAGCTAACATATGGAAACCATGGGTTTATGTAGCAGTAAATAGTTTTTTTTTAAAAAAAAGAACTATTTCAAATAGACCAATATAAAACAAACATCTTCAATACAGACTATTTCAAAAATTATAATAATTTTAATTCTTTTACTTCCAACTCCATTCTCCAACTCTCATTCTCAAAGGTATCCTAGATTGGACAATAAGTAACACCACTATGTTCACAAGGCACTTATTTTCTGCACTTTTTCTTTTTTATAATAGACTCTGTTATTTCTTACTATATATATATATATATGAGCTAATAGACTCTATTATCAATAACTATATCTATCTATATCTACCTATATCTATATATGCATATATGTGTGTGTGTATTTGTATGTGTATGAGTATATATGTATATAAATATATGTATAGATACATGTGTATATATAAATACATGTGTGCATATATATATCCATAAAATATAAAACAATACACAAAACATATCCTGCATTGCTTCTTAATATCTCTCAGAAATAGGAGACATGTATTTTAAAAAATAACTTACATCCAGGATAGTTAACACATTGCAGAAGAATAAAGCTGGAGGACTGATACTACCTGACTCCTAGATTTACTATAAAGCTACAGTAATCAAGACAGTATGATATTGGCAAAAGAATAGACAAATAGTTCAATAAAACAGAATAGAGAGCCCAGCAATAGACACATATAAATACAGTCAACTGATCTTTGATAAGGGAGCAAAGGCAATACAATGGAGCAAAGACAGTCTTTTCAACAAATGGTCCTGGAACAACTAGACACCCCTACATTCAAAAAAATAAGTTTTAACATAGACTTTATGCCCCTAACAAAAATTAACTCATAGTGGATAACAGACGTAAGTGTAAAGTGCAAGAGTGTAAAACTTGTAGAATATAACATAGGAGAAAACCTAGGTGACAACACCAAAGACATGATCTATGCAAGAAATAATTGATAAGCTGGACTTCATTAAAATTAAAAATTTCTGCTCTGTGAAAGACAGAGTCAAGAGAATGAGATAAGTCCCAGACTGAGAGAAAAGTTTCAAAGAACACATCAGATAAAGGACTGTTATCTAAAATATATAAGGAACTTTTAAAACCGAATAATAGGAAAACAAGCAGCACAATTTAAAAATGGACCAAATACCTTAACAGAGACCAAAGAAGATACACATGTGGCAAATAGGTGTATGAAAAGATGATCCACATCATATGGAATCAGGAAAATGTCTATCAAACAAATAAATACCTAGAATGGCCAAAACTCAGAACACTGACAATAACAAATGTTGGTGAAGATGAGGAGCAACAGGAACTCTTATTGTTGGTGGAAATGCAAAATGGCACAGCCACTTTGGAAGACAGTTTCTTAAAAAGCTAGACATACTCTTGCCATATGACCCAGTAACTGTGTTCCTTCGTATCTCCGTAAAGGAGTTGAAAACTTATGTCCAAGCAGAATGTTTACAGTGGCTTTATTAATAATTGCCAAAACTTGGAAGCAACAAAATGTTCTTCAGTATGTGAATGAATAAACTGCAGTACATCGAGACATTATTCAGTGATAAGAAATTAGCTGCCAAGCCATAAAAGACTGGAGGAACCTTAAATGCATACTCTTATTACCAACTGAAAGAAGCCAATATGAAAAGGCTACATACTGTATGGTTCCAACTATCTGACATTCTTGAAAGGATAAAACTATGGAGATAGTAAAAAGATCAGTGATTTGCAGGTGTTGGGGGTAGGTAGATGAATAGGCAAATCACAGAAAGTGTTTAGGGCAGTGAAAATACTGTATGATGTGATAATGGTGGATGCATGTCATTACACATTTGTCCAAACGCAAAGAATATAAAACACTGTCTTCATCCAGTTCTGCTGCTATAACAAAATACCTGAGACTGGGCAATTTATAAATAATAGGAATTTATTTTTCACAGTCCTGGAGGGTGTGAAGTTCAATATAAGGCACCAGCAGATTTAATGTCTGGTGAGGGCTCTGACTAGGTGTCCTCACATGGTGGAACGAGCGGAAGGGGCTAGCTAGTTCTCTCAAGTGCTTTTAAAAGGTCAGGGATCCCATTCATGAGGGTGAAGTCCTCATGACCTAATCACCTCTTAGAGGCTCCATCTCTTCATACTATGACCTTGGGGATTAAGTTTCAACATGAATTTTGGAGGGATGCAAACATTCAAACCATAGAAACACAAGAGTGAACCCTAATGTAAATTTTGGACTTCAGGTAATTATAATGTGTCAACATAGGTTCATCGATTGTAATAAATATACATCTCTGTTAGGGGATGTTGATAACAGGAGAGCTATGCATGTGGTGGGGGAGGGGAATATGGGAAACCTCTGTACCTTTCTCTCAGTTTTGCTGTGAACCTAAAACTGTGCTAAATAATTAAGTCTTCAAAAGAAATTTTAAAAAGATTTTCATAAACTTCTTCCCCAGCAAAAAAAAAGGCCACCAGATAGCTCAGATCTTCTCTCATATATTAGTCTAGTCTAACTAACCATTTAGCATTTAGTTATAAGAATTTTCTTGAAATCTATGCTGTTCATTATCTATCTAGTTACCTAGTCACCTAAAGTT